GAGACGGCACAATGCCAGCACTGCGCAGCCGACTGGGACTCCGTCCAGCTCACGCTGGAAGACTGCCCCGCGTGGGCGTCTGAACGCGAAGTCCTGGTAGGCCAAATCGGAATAGACCTGTCCCCGCCAGCAATCATTGCTGCCATGCTGGCTCCAGAAAGAGACCGCTGAACGTGATCGGGAGAGGGCCGATCCCGAGCGACCATACCAGCCGTCGACGGGGCCGCGGGCCGCCAGAGAGTGGGGACCTCTGGTGGCAGATTGAATGCTGCGGTAAAGGATAGGATGGCGGCCTGATTGCATTAAGACGAAATTGGGCCGCCACGTCGCGATTGAGAGTTTTTTTCCACTGGGATAGGACCTGATAGTGTCATTACATTTTCTCATTGTGTAAAAGAACTGTATTCTTCTTTTTTGAAAATATAAATGTGTTTAAACCGAGGTTTTATTAATAGATAGAAAATGGAAACGCGGCTTAACTTAACACGGAACAGGAATTACATTTTATTAAACAAGTTATAATTTATAAAGTACTATGAGGAATACCTAATTTCCATATTATGTTAAATACCTAATGGTATACCGCATGCGAATAATTAATCACCTTTATTAACTATATAGAGTGAGTCTTTATCATAATATCACTTTTAAAACACCGTTGTACTAGTACGAGGTACATACAATACATACCTACTTATTATAATAATTATGCGTAACTTGGTAGGTTGTTATGGTCATTGATAATTTATTAGTTCGTTATAAGCCATTACTATTTTTAACACGCTTTTATTAGTTTCACCTGTATATAACTAAAAAACTACGTAAACAAAACTTAAAAGTTGAGTTTAATCAACTTTTATTGTTTGATTTGAAACTTTTGCAACAGCGATGACAATATACTCGTACATATAAAAATCGGTTCCATCGAGCTGATCTGATGATGGAATCAGGAGGTAAATAGTGGAAATCATTAACGTTAATTAGTGAATCCCTTGAGGTTTCGGTTTATTTGTTTTGTTTCGACGAGTCGAATACATTACAAGCGTAAAAGCGATTTTATTATTTAGTTTTTAAACTAAACATGTATTGTAGTCGCCACTCTGGGGGTTATACTCGTATAACAAAAATATATGCTTTTGATTTTTTTCTCGTATACTTTATAGTTATATAGATTTATAGCGTGGGCTATCAGAATATAAGCTTTTTAAATCGTTACACACAATAAATCTTTAAAACATGAATTAATTTCATGTTTTGAATTGATGTTTTAAAGATTTCTTGTTGTATTTATTAATGAAGTGTAGACGTTGCCTTTTTACTGAAAAGTCACGGGCAAAGTTAGTTTAATTATAAATTATAAAATTAATTTAACAAACACAGACCAATATTTTGTTTGTCATCAATATTTTCATTTCTCTTCCTTCCTTACTGACATCTTTATCCAGATAGGGGTAGACAGAGACGTATAAAACGCTTACAATAATCTGGCGAATGTACAGCATTATGTTGTCAGGTCCTAAATAAATGAAATTACTGGATAATGTAGAGTATTTCGTATACTCTTGGAAAATAAACATATTTAATTAAATCACTTACGTGTAATGTAACATCCTGTACAGCATAATTACAACCTTTTAATTTATTTACCTTAAGGATTTTAATAATTAAAATACGGATTCAATTGAAAGAAAAAAAAAACAACTTTATGTCATAATTTGAATAAAAATATCATTAACACCAAATACAGAGTGTTTATTATGCGCATACATTTCAATAGATTTATAGACAAGGGTTATTTATTAATATAAGTATGTAAGAGGCTACTTAGGGTTAAATGTTGAATACTAATGTATTATTAAGACATAATATTCTTATCGCTACTGTGGTTAATTAGCATACATATTTGCCGTTGGTAGATTCTAATATAGCTTTAAATATATTTATCACAAATATCAGTTGATTTCACAATATCAGTAAGTAAAGATCTTCAGTATTTTTATATTTTCTTACATAATAAGATCACTGTTAGTCCCTATAGTGTGTGATGGTAAGTAGTAAAACAAAAATATCCATAATATGCCTTTGAATCCAGAATCTGCTACCCCACGGTCTCGTCGAAGGAGGGCGTGTGAGCCAGACCGCCCGTGACCGAGGCCAATGCAACCTGGTAGAAACACCAGGCAAGTCAAAGGTACGTAATACCTATTAAGCATGAAGTAATTACGTGGCTCCTGACAAGATAATTTTTGTCTTAAATAATTGTTCTACACAGAAACATTAATTAATACCGTGACCATTTTTCTTTTTAATTAATACATTCTTCGACGTGATTATTACTGATCCCCTCCACCAATTCCATTCCATAATAAGATGTGTTCAAATTGATGAACAGTTTTAATAATGTGATTTGACAGGATTTATTGCCTCTCTCTCTCCCTCTCCTTGAGAGCCTCCTTAGTTGGAGCTGAAGTTTATATAAACATTAATTTAGACCTTATTGATTATTTTGATTAAAGCGACAATTCATTAATATAAATTGGTATTCAAATATGTACTTATATATCATGATGTACCTCTAAGTATGGTGTAAGTAAGTATTATTTCTTCCTCTGAGCCTTTCTCCCAAACTAGTTCGGGATTGACTTACGGCCTCCCATGATGATGCTTATAGTTACTATGTTTGCATTTTTTTTAAATAGAGTCCTCTCATAGCTTAGCACTGTTTAGACAAGCTAATTAACGTTTGTCAGTTTTTGTGGTAAGTCAACTACGATACGCCGAATTTCAAATTGTTACGAGGAACAACTGCCATCAGATCTGCACAACCCTAGGCGATATCGAAGTTCTGTAGCAAGACCAATGCTGTAACTACCCTTGTTGTGTTGTGTAAGTATAATTACGACGCTATATTGAAAAATACAGATAAACACTATATTCAAGATTATAAAATTCAGTATGTCACCGGACAGCAACATTGAAGCTAGACAGGCCGGATACTGGATAGTGGCTGGTTGAGCTGGATGCTACATTCTGATAGGTACGAACTATCCGCCGACTATCCGACGTATTAACATAATTATATATAAAAATAATAATTGACTACTGCACTCAGCATTAGTAGTGTTTTTCAAATGCAACCGTAAGTAATTATGTTTTTATCATTAGGTAAGTAGCGAACCGCTCTCGCTTCGCACGGGTTAAACTTAGAACTACAATGTTCTAGTACATAATTTTCAAGTCTCTCTTAAGGTTTGCCAACGTGAGCCGTATAGGTATGATAAGTTTATATGTCAATGAACTTTAAATTAAGTAAGTACCTATCCGTACTTTACTCATAATAATTTATATTACAACAAACCTATGCCTATAACGTTAATATTAGTTAATGTAGGTATTAGTTATAGTAACTGTTATTTTTTACATAAATTGTAAAACCATCTAAATGGGATAAGTACAGATTTAGTTTCTTACAAAATTGTTTAGTAACCTTTACTTACTCCGAGTTTCTTTCGAGATCAACAAGTTGCTGCTGAAGCGTGAAGAGATGCTTTGCGATTGGAATTCAACCATCCGATACAACATGTGGATATGTGACATGGATAAATATTGACTCCAACCTTTGTATGAATATCAACTAAGATTTTCTGTTCATATTTCAATTATATAGGCCATGTCTTACAAAAATATAGTTTAAATTTAATTACGTAAGTAGGTTAAATTAATTGTCTGATTAATTTCTTAAAGGCTCTAAACAGAATAAACTTATTAAACTTAAAATTAGTTTCTAATAAAATGGAGTCCATCCTAGATTAAATTGTGTAATTCCGTAAATTAATAATAATGATTTATTTAAGAAATATTTATTTTCCATATTAGGTTAGTAAACGTTTGCTTACATACTATTGTTACTATAAATTATAATTACTATGACCAAAAAGAAAACAAATTATATTACAGCATGTAGCCGCAACCATCGGCGCATCATCGGTGTCTCCCACCGATCTGTGAACATCCTTAGAATGGTATTGGTACTGCCGCAGAGACGCGTCATCAGGAAATTATGGCTGCAAACCTGTCAACTTGCGCCTCTGTAAACATACATGATGCGCTGCACCTCCGTGGCAATCCCAACAGCACCCTAAGTGCGTTATTGTACTGAATACGTAGGTCGCTCCCACCCACGTGCCCGCCCACCATAACTTACCCACAAGCTACACGTGTAGAAGGACTGGCAGTAGGCTTTAAATAACGTAATCTTTATTGCATACGTACCTATATCGTGTAAACCTTCGAGCCAGCATATTACAACGGACAGCAAGCAACCTGCGCTATCTATGTCAAAGGTATCACTATTAATAAATGATTAAAAATGTATGTTATGTTCTCAGACATTCTGGTTCTCAGATTTCGTATCCAAACAAAGTAAATACTCGTATCTATGTATACGACAAATTGTATAGAGACAATAAAATTCTCAGACATAATATGCTGAGTATATAAAAACTGCACAACTATAAATTGAGAAATCAGACAAGTAACTTTGCTAACCGTTTGGAGTTTTGATTTTGTTTTATAAATAAAACAAAATTAAAACTCCAACAAGTAGGACGTTTTATCCCACAGTTTCGTCTTAACAGAATATTATTATTTATATGTTTTTATATCACATTTACTTATTATAATATTATCGTTCAAAAACAATCTTGAGTAGCTATTGGTGTGTAAGTTCTAGCATAACACTACTTATTCACAAAGACGCCGTTTACTAATCACGCAGCCAGAATGTAAAAGCAACACTTTATGTTTGTCTTTAAACAGGATCTACGTCACGAAACATGTATTTTAACGCACTAATTGTTTTTGTATTTACATTCCATAAACTTAAACTGTTGTTTAATTGTTTCCCAGCACTTCACAAAGTAGCAACCGGTCACATTAGTACCGTTCACGTTAGTGTCAAAAGCACTTTACTCGGTAGAATCGAGCGACAGACGTCGCTGTCATCCACTGATTATGTTCACATCTTCTTCTTCGCCGACTTGGAGGATGGCTTTCTGGATCATACGCTTCAGCTTCTTGCGGGATTCGTTGGAACGAAGCGTGCGAAGTTCTGATGCTACGAAGTCGCCGAAAATCTGTTGAGACAATAATTTCATATAAACTGTGAACTCACACGAATAAGTTCACTAGTCAATTAGTCAAAATTCGGTAAGGCCAATTAACACCGCAAAGTTTCACTCACTAACCAGGAAAATATGAAATACAAATTAGAATATTAAATGGTGGTCCATTGTTTGGTTGGTATTTAATTTAAGCAAAGGGTTTGTTTCCTTTGTTTGTGAAGTGAAAACATGAAATGTTTTGACCTAAACGTAACAGATACAAAATCGGTAAGATTTTTTATTTAGTTATGTTGGTCTTGTCCGATTCTGGTAATCGTTTTACGTTACTATTAATTTTTGTTTTTTCAGATAGATCTGTTTTCGGAAAATTATATTAATTAAAAAAATATTCACAATACGAGTTTTGAAAAGTGTCCACATGAATGGAAAAGAGGTGGCTCTGATGATAGAGGGATTAAATTAATAAATAATAATATTATCTGAAAATGGAATATGTGGCACAGCGAATAAAATCGAAGGTTTTTTTTAAAAGGGCCTTTT